CTCCCTGCACTAAATGCTCAGCCTTTGGATAGGAATCCCCTGAGCCTTTGTCAACTCAAATAAACACTGCTTCCTGCTGAATGCCCTGGTGTCCCATGTCTCTGTGTCTCTGTGCGAGAATCCTGCAACAGTACCAAAGCGACATGATCAGCAGAAACAACACTTCAGACTTTGACTTTCGCTCTTCTCCCAGGTTAGGAATACACAGTGCCATGGTCTTTGTGATGCCGGGGAGCGGCGGTAAACACTGCTCCCAGTCCCCCGCGATGGGGCTGAGCCGCTGATGCTCCACAGTGTCCGGGGTGCTAAGTGGCCATATTCCGTAATTTAGGTGTGTTTGGTGCATTTTCAACTTACAATGGATTTACCAGGATGTAACCCCACCTTAAGTTTGGACCATCTGCATCTTCACAGAGTTGTGCAACCACGGAAATGGGGTGACCTGTTGCAGCCACCTAGCCACAGAGATTCCCAGAGATGGGTGTGGCTTTCCAAAATGCCAGTCAACCTTGTTGACTGCAAGACACCTTGAAAGAAGACTCCACCTCTCAAGCCTCATCCCTGCCTTTGATGCTATCCCTTAAATAAAGAATCGGAGCCATTTTCTAACTGTTCTGTTCCAGCTCCTGTCTATCAGGCGCCCCCTTAAAACTAACTCTGACTTTGTCCCTTGTTTCTTCACTAATTACTTCAGGCTTTAATTTTCTCAGGTGGCTTATCCTGTGCAGGAAGAATCACCCTGGAGAGGTGCTGGCCGCCTCGCGATACAGGTGCAGCTTAGGGCCTTGCTGCAAGAATCTGTTTCCAAGTTACTCCCCTGGCCGCTGGCCAGGCTCAGGGGTTGCTGGGTGGAAGGCCCAGGGCCTCAGTCCTTGCAGGCTGTTCCCGAGACGAGCCTCAGCTCCTTGCCATACGGGCCTCTCCGTGAGGCCGCTGACAGTGCAGAGCTGGCTTCCTCAGAACAAATGAGTGGAAAGCAGCAAATGACGAGATCAGTCCTTTGTCTCTCTCTCAAGTGACATCTCACTACTTTGGCCACTGCATTAGTTTTCTGTTGCTGTGTATAAGTTACTAAGTTCAGAATCTAGAAACAACACCCACGTATTATTACCCAGTTGATGTGGGTCAGGAATCGAGCACAGTGTAGCGGGGCTCTCTGCTCAGGGGGACTCATAAGGTCACAGTCAAGGTGTGGGCTGGGCTGTGTTCTCATCCGGAGCTCAGGGTCCTTTTCCATGTCCCCTCTGATTGTTGGCAGAATTCAGTCCCCTGTGGTTGGAGCTCCTAGGCCCCCATATTTTTGCTGGCCGTGAGCAGGGGCCACTCGCAGCTCCTAGAGTCTACTTAAAGGCACCAGCAGGCTGCTCACCTTCCTCCAACCAGCAGGTGAGGGCCTCTCAGGTACACCCAGGTAATCTCCCTCTCGATTAGCTCCAAGACACTGAAATGATATCCCTTTCTGTTCCGCAGCCCTGACCACACTCACAGCAAGGACATGAGTGTGGTGGGTGCCCAAGGGACCGAGAAGCTTAGAGGCCAGCTCAGAATACACTGA